TCTTTTTTTTTTCCATCTACCTTAATCCTTGACTATTTTGGAGATACTGTGGATTTAAATAGTGGAGCGCAGTGATGGGTATTCTGTCCTTTCTAGTTTTCCTGATTGGTGGGTAAAATTAGCTATATCTCTCATTCTCTCCGTATCTTAATCTTCAAAATGGTGACAATATTTATTAATATTTGCCTTACTGGAATTCATCGCATATCAAAACTCATCTAATAATCATTAAAAAAACTTATCACTGTAAAGATAGAAGGAGCTATTCTTTTCCAATAGTCATGGCTTATTTTACAACCTTAACAGTTGTAAAAACAGTTCTTGCTTGGGCACAAGAATCTAATTAGTGTAATTACAGCCTTGGTGCAGCAAGATACCAAAAAAATAGGGGATCTTAGCAAACAGCCCCCAGTTTAGCTCACTAGATTTCACTGCTTCTTTAACTTTTACTTCTCTTGAAAATGAATAAATGAAAGACAAAGAAATGAACTGAAGTCTGAATCTGGGTGTGATCTACCTACCAGCGCTCTATATGCCTGGATAAAGTGCATATGAAAGTGCAATATTTGGACAGTATCAGTCAGGAAAATAGCTTCCCTGACCTAAGAAGGGAAACGGCATTTGAGATCCTAGAATCTCTTTTGAGTCTTTACGAAAGAAAATGATCAGATCAAGGGGCCCTACGAATTTTTCAAATGACTTGCCATGCATTAAGAGCTAAAAGGAAATCAATTGCTTAGATATAGTATACTGTAGTAAGCCAGCAAATGTCACATCAAAGAAGTTCCTATATAAATGCCATCTTATGGGAGTCTAAACGGACTTAACCTTCTGATATTGACAATGGCCAAGGGAATTTCCAAGAGCCCGAGTGACACTTTGGATAAAAATCGGTAATATACAGCATTCAGTATAAATTTCCTCTCACCCCATGACTCTGTATTCTGGGGTCACTTTTATCATTTAGGAACTTCCAATCCCTGGAGTGGTAACAGCTGTAACACAATGGTTGCCTTCTTTGGCTCCAGTGTTATTTTGTGACCCATGTCCCACATGACTCTTATAAATTTCCCAATTTCCTATTAACAGATGGAGTCTCAAGACCGCTGTAGCGACGCCTAATCATAATAGATGCTCTTGTTATCTAATTTGTGTGTATTTATTTTTAAAAATAGTAAAATATAGATAAGTCTTATTTGACCCACTTTCCTCTGGAAATTTCTCTTAAATTATTTTTTTTAAAGTTACCTTTAATCGGACTCTTAGTTCAAATAGAGCTAGTTAATGACCTGGCTCCCCACTTCCCTCACTCATCCTCCTGCGTCAGCCACACTGGGCTTCTTGAGGTCCTGAAATCCTTCAAACCTGCTCTCAGTTACAGGCTTTTGCATTTGCTCTTCCCTAATCCAAGAATGCTCTTCTCAGACGTAATTGTGACCTGCTCCTCCTGCCTTCAGAGCATCTCATTAGGGAGCCATATCTGACGACCCTCGGTACAATTTCCAGGGCTCTCTCATCCCTTCAGTCTGCTTTATTATTCTCCACAGCACTTAGCATCATTTGATATATATGTGTTTGTCTGCTTTTAATTGTTTGTTTTCCCACAAGAATTTAAGTTCTCCAAGGACAGAGACTGCTACGTTCACATCCTTACCCTTAGTGCCTAGCATGAGGTAAGCACCCAATACATAATTGCTCTATCAACGAATGGAGCCAAGTGCCCTTTTTTTTTAAACTTTAATGTCAACCAATATTATAGCAGTAGATTGAAGTATAAGAGGAAAAACAACATTTTCTGCTCTTCAGTATTTCAAGGAAAAATTGACATTGTAGTAGGGGGTAAAATAATTCAACAGAGTCACAGATAAAGTCATACTGAGAAAAACTGATAAATTAAACTTAGCCACAGGCGCCCTATTCTTCCCTCTCAAAAACTGTGGAGAGTGTTCCCGGCAAGACTCTCCATGCCAGCTCTCATAGCAGTGACACACAAACCCACCCTTCATGTCCTTTATTGTCCTCAGTTTATTGCCTGGAGACACGGTGAATCGCAAGCTCTTATTTAGGACGTATTTCTTACTGCTACTTTCAGGCATGTGCAGATAGGAGGCAGATTCGGGTCTTTTTCGAACGCATCTCCCATTGTTGTTACAGAGGCTTCGACTGCAGAGTTTGGCTGCCATGGTCACGTTAACAGCATAATGGCCCAATGGCCCTTGGATAAACTTCTTCACCAACAAGCAGGTCTCCTGTAGGAAAAACAGAGATCTATTTAGATCACTCTCATAATGTGATTCCACTATCCTGACGTTTTGTTTTTGGTAAGGCTGAGGAGAAAGAGCATTTCAGTGGATTAATCATTCGAATGAGAGACTAAGCCCTTATAAAGGCATATACGTGATGAGTTCTTAGAGACGCTCCTTAAAGAGGTATTTATAGTAACACTTTAGAAAGAAAACCATTAATATGGGATGTGTGCCTTACTATCAAGAGTAGATTGTTAATAAAAGTTTAGATACATATTTTTTCCCTCCAAGGAGCATTTCTGTTATTGATAATCAGAAAATGAATCATTTTCGGGGAATCCATCCTCCTTCGTGTGAATGAAAGGCTATTTATTTTTTAAATTTAGTCCTTTTTTCTTTGTCACATATATTATATCATTTAATCTACCAAAATTCTTGCAGAGTAGATTTTATTTCAGTACTGTTCTTTGAGATGGAGAAACAGAGACTCAGGGAGGTTAATTAACTTGCTCAAGATTACACCCCTAGAATGTAAAAATGTGAATTCTCAAGGTTGTCTGATTGGAAAACCTGCGCTCTTTTCTACACTGCTACCAACCACAGTGGCTATTACAGAGCAGGTGCTCGAACGATGTTAGTCCCTGTAGTCTCTGAGCTTTGTTAAAGTCAAGTGAACAGAAAATCAACAACCATTTCTCTCCGGCATGAAAAGTTAAAACAAAACCCAGTATTTAGAATATGCTTGAGATGGAGAAATCATGGCTTACCTTTGAATCAGAGTATTCATAGCCTCCCCACAGTATTACTCCTGCTGCCCCCAGCGCGACGCTTTCACCAATTGTATGTACTAAGTCCTCCTAGAAAAGAGAGGGAACACAAGTAGTTTCTGCCAAACCATATTCAGTCATTGACAATTCAGTAATAATCTCAGCCCATCAGCTGTGGTAAAGAACACATTGAGATCAATATGTTTGTTTCTAAAACAAAGGACTATAGAGCAGAACTGGAAAAGGTTATTCTGCCTGAGATACTTACATGATAAATATTTATGATGTTCCAGGCAATATCCTAGACACAGAGAATAAGAAAATGAAACAGATTCCAGTTCTTGTCCTTGGTGGGCTGCTTTAGTGTGATGATTGAGACAGACGTGTATAATTACAGTGCAATAAGTTAAATTCTACATTAGCACCTACAAGACATACGTAAGATTAGAGGAAGTGCTTAGTGCTGCATAGAAGAGTCCGGGAAGGCTTCCTTCAAGAAGAGGAATTTCAGATGGGTCTTTGAAAATGAGTATAAATTGATAAAACAGACTAATGAGAACAGAGTTTGGTATCCAGTGGGAAGAGAAATGGCAGAGGCTCATGTGTAGGAAAAAGCATGGTCCATCCAAGAAGTGCCAGTAACTCTTATGGTAAAAAGCACAGAGGACTGGGGGAGAAATAAAAGCATCTCAATCCTTGTGTGTATGTGGGATCCAAAAATAAGAGTCTGCTATGCTATTTTATTTTATTATGCTATTTTAAAGTATTAGGACTTAAGTACAAAAGAAGTTTTAGTACTGGAAAGCCACACATTTGTAACTTTGATAGGAATTTTTGGCTGTCCCAGAAAAAAACATATTGAAGGGGGAAGTCAAGATGGCAGGCAGAGACCCCACTTAGGAGATGACAGAAACTGTTCAGTGAGAAATGATGAGGGCCTCAACAAAGGCAAGGTGAGTTCTTACAAAGCAGAGGGGATGGATTGTAGAGTCATTTGGAAATTAAGATGGATAAGTGTTAGTTATCCATCTTAATCCAAGGGAAGGGAGGCATCCAACTGACTCTCAAGTTGGGAAAGTAAGTAGATTATAGTTCATCAAGATGAGAAATGGAAGAGGTTATGTTCATGATTATAGACCAAGAGCAGAGAAGCAGGAAATAAGGAGAGATGAAAGACAGAGGGAAAGATTGATGGATAGTCTACATTCTTTCCTTCCCTGCAAGATGTGGAGAATCAGGGATCCAGTGCAAAGGCAACGTGTTCAAAGGCCCGGATAAGAAAATGGCCATGCTCAGCAAAGCTCCCCTGCATTAAATGACATCTCCAGTAACACCAGCACTTGTGTTTCACAACTTGTCTAAGTAATAAAATGGGAAAGAAAATCACTTTTCCAATATACTAATTAGTATTGCATACCTTAAATGAAAATCAAGTCTCTTGTTTAAATTGAGGCATTTCTGAAAGAAAATATCCAGCAGAGTTGGTTTTAAGTGATTTCATAATTATAATACGAATAACATAATAAATGGTATGATAATGTAATGTTTAGACAGTAAGTGAGAAAGATCCATGATATCTGTTGATCTGTGAAACATGCAGGGCAACAGGATAGTATTAAAACACTTCATTATATTATTACTCAGGTAATTCTATAGTTTTCATTTTCTGAAGTAGAGCTCAGAGGCAATACTTAGCCCATAATTTACTTTGAAAATCAAATAGTACAAAAAAAGGGACGGTTACAACATTAAAATATGGTTTATCTCATTCTTTCACTTTCTATCAAGACAAACTATCTGACTACATGGATTAGTGTTATTTTCTACTCTTATTATTACTAATAGCATATTGTATCTGACACATGGTAGGCACTCAATGAAAAATTTTTAAATGAATAAATATAAATAAATAGTCTTTTTCCCAAAAGGATTTGAGAAAGTGACATGGTTTGAGAGATCTGTTTCGTGAGGAATAACTTATCAAGAAGACTTTGTAGGTATGACTGACTAACATCTTTAAATACCTGGAGAACTAACTTTCGAAAGAAGGATTTGATTTATTCTATGTTGCACTGTAAATTAGAATTAGAACTAGTAGTGGTATGATGTTATCCAGAAGCAGAGTAGACTCAACACACTCAATAACTTTCTAGAAATTAAGATTGTTCCCAAAAGGCAGTTTTCCTTCTGCAATAGGGAGACCCCCATCAAAAGATGCTAAAGCAGAGCTCAGGTAAGAAATGTTTGGATGAGTGGTGGATTAGATATCTCTGAGATCCTCCAACTTTTTGTCATAGTGCTATGATTCTTTTCCTCCTAAATTTCTTGAATGAACATTCCATTTTGAATAATACAGAGTAATCCTGCAATCATAGAAATGTCAGGTCTAATCAATCAGTGTTTGGGTCAATAGATTTTATTCTAAAATTTTTGAGGAAGAATTGATACTGAGCTTAAATGTCTTTATCTCAAACACATGTGATCTAAGAAGATGAACTGTATGTTATCCATCCAATGGCCTTTCTTCTGTGTTGGGTACTGTAATAACAGGATTGTGAGTTCACAGGTATGGAGGGAGATCAAAGGGCTTTCTCACCCAGCCACCCATTCAATGAGTGAATCCCTACAACAAGGTCCTGTCTAAATGACAATCTAGCTTAAGTTTGAACACTTCTAAGTGTCTATAAATTCATTAACTTCCAAACAAGCTCATTCCCACATCTTTGTGCTTCCCAACTTGTGTTAAGTCTAAGGGTAATAACCTACCTATTTATACAGATCACTTTTAATGCCTTGACACTCACCACTAGATCACACTGTGGACTCTTAGAGATAAAATTAACAGAATCTATGCTATTTTTCAATTAATCTAATCAACCAAAGCAAAAGTGCAATATATTGAAAATATCATTGGTTAATAATTTACCCAAGCTCTATTTTACACATTTTTGATTTAGTAATTTGCTGCTACTCTTTCATATTAAAAAGCTGATTCTGAAATTTCCCCCTGGTTAAAATCAATCTATCTGTTACATGATTTAACTTAAGCTTAACAACTTAAGTTGCAGGGAACCCCTGTAAATGCTAAACTGGTAGGAATCATCATCTAAAAACTCTAAGTAAACATTGAATTGTCACACTTTCAGAATTGGCTTGACATTTGAAGAAAGATATAGCTTTAATAATAGAATAATGTTCTATTGTTAAGAGAAAATAGCTTCCTAAAACATTTTTTTCCTAAACTTTACAGAATCATTCAGCTAAATTTCCATTTTTTAATGTGTGACTGTATTTTTTTCTTACCTGTGACAGAGCTTCAATACTATGCAAATAAAATGGTCTGGAAAAAATAAAAACTGGCAAAACATAGTCATGTCTAGCCATGTCAGCAATTCTCATGGCTTCTCTAATTCGATAATGAACAAATTTCAAAGCATTTAAACTTGACTTCAATATTTTATCCAAATATATTGAAGTATAAAGAGCTGTGCTTTTTCCCCATAGCCACTGGAGTTGGTCATTGCGGAAAATTTCATCACTCGGGCATTTACCTGTGTAGGTCTGTGGATTTATCCTATAATCATAATTGTAGCAGTCTGGATAGAGATAAAAGCCCCATAAACATTTTGGTCTCATTTCTAAAGCCAGTGTGAGGGTAGCATTCATAATACTCCTCCCAGCATTTTCAAATTCCTCTTGGGCAACTGTTCTTACTTTCATTGCTGACCAGTCAGGATGGTGGCTTCTAGTAAAGGCTAAGGAGTAGTTTTTATATATTGTTCTGTCGCCCCAGTTTCTGTCCCATTGCGGCTTCCAGCTTTCCCAGTCAAGGACAACGAGACCTTCAGACCTCCACCAAGGGACAGCCTTGGCAATGTCATCAGCGGTCTTCCGTAGGTGTTTGGAAAGGCTCATATTCTGTGGTATCCCTCCATTAAAGGGTTTCCCATCTCGAGAGAAATAAGGATAGTACCCTAATTCATTGGGGTAAAGAATGGCAATTGTTGATCCACTCTGAGTCTCCAAAGGGTTGGATATAATATTAAATACGTGAAGGTTCAGATCCACACGGAAGAAGTGCTGACACTGCATTGTTGGGGCAGCCCAGAAAATGTTGAAAGGTTGTCTCTTGATCACCGGAGGCATTGCTGGCTTGAGGGCCGAATGAGTGAACACCGTGGAGAGCAGCAGCAGTGGGAACTGTGCCGCCCACGGGTTACTCATGGCTTGTAGTCTTCACCATTACAGCCGACTCCTTAAAAATAAGAAGAGGGAAAACAAGTAGACATGATGCAGTCAAACGTCCCTTCAGTGTTAGGGTACACGGTGGATAGCAGATCAAGTAAACTCATGGGAGTGTCTAAGCTGTTAAGTGGTACAACAAAGGATTTCTGAGATTTATTGATATCTTGGCCTAATTTATTATTTTGGGGTGGGAGGAGGTAATTCGGTTTATCGATTTATTGATTTATTTAATGAAGGTACTTAAGCTTAACTTATACTTTTATCTGAACAGGAAAGAAAAATGAATTTTTTTAAAAAAACTGGAAAAGTGGGAGAAGAAATCCTGTCAATAAAACCTGCATCTATGCAAACTCCTACCTACTAGCTCTTCTGGTTTTAATTTCCTGTAATTCCAACTATATTGACTTAAACCACCCTGTACTGACAAACCTTGGGTTTTAAGGGGAGCTAGGAAAAAAATAGCTCCTAATCCATTATTAGACAAGTGACCCAAAACAGGTCCTGTTGAAAATTAACAAATATTGGCATTTTAACCAATATTAAATCGAACAAAAAGAAATGTCAAATGGTACCAATATTAAGTAATAGCTTGCTTGCTTGCTGTTTGAAGTGCACTGGCTTCAAAAGTTTGTTCATTTGTTGGTTGGTTTGTTTATAAAGGACAGCAGTTATCCTTGGAAATAGCACAGGTTAAAATAGAAAACAGACAGAAATGGCACTTACATATGGTAGATTATGGATTTTGGTGCTTTCATCTTTTCTCAGGTATATAAATAAGCCTAAAAACCTATAAGTTGTTTAGCTTCTTGGTCTTCCCGTGAAGAAACTGGACTATATTTTCACCAGTCAGTTCCCTTGGCCAAGTCCCTTCTAAATAGTCAGTTGAGTCAAAAACTGCCAAAGAATCTTCCTAGACGAGGGCTGTCTAATGGTGCATTCCAGCCAATGAGATCTCAGCATGAAAGCAGGATGGTTGAAGTTACGAATCAAAATTATTTCATCATGTAAATATTCTTTTTAAATAAAGGAATCACAAATTTTTCTCTGATGCAAATTAAACTCGGTGTCTTTTTAAGAGTCAAACATTACTTTTTGGGGGGTAGTAGCTCTTGCTGAATTTATCTAATATATTAAATGTAGGAAAAGACCAAAATTTCATTTTAACTCTTGCAACATGGCACCCCAAGTTTATGAAGAATCTTGAGTAAGTCATATGCTCTCTGTAGGCTGAATTTTTATCAACAGCTGTGAATGATAATATACTCTTTTAAATAAAGTGGGTATTATTGATACAATTGACTTTATGAGGATTTTGTATTATGGTACCAGATGAATCTCTAAGTCACCAGAAAGACTCCCCTTCCTTTATTTCCTCAACCACCAGATCTTAGGGTAACCCTCCACCAAAAAAAATTAACAGTAAACCTTTCTTTTATGTCATTGTCTAGCATTCAGGGAAAATGTAAAAGCACCTATTATATATAAATATTACTCTTAACAGCCTTCTTCTCATGACAGCATGTACGGTGTATGTGGGTGTATATGCTTAATAAACTGTGACACGAAAAAAACTGTCAAATGTCATGTCACATTAAACTTTTTAGAGATAAAGGTACTAAAAAGCCAAAATATTGTGCTTTAATAAAATCCAATTACGAGCTTACTTTTCTAAAAGATTTTAATCATGTTTTCTAAATATATATAAAAGTTACAAAGTTACACCCTCTATCTTTTTCACTAGCCTATGGAAAACTTATTACTTTAGCGTTAGCTTGGTCCTCAGTATGCATTTTATAACAAGCTTCTACTATAGTAACAAAATTATGCATTATGAATTGTTTGAATTTTTAAATATTATTATTTACCCATGATGCTTATGGAGATTTTATTTTATTTTCTAGCCATTTTTATTATTGAGGATATAACACTAGATTAAAATTTTCTGACTCATTTTATATATATATATGTATATATATACACACACACACACACACACACACACACACTTTTTTTTTCCCCAACAAATCTTTCTTGAGCATCAGATAAGTTTCAGGCAGAGAGCTAGGTCTAGTGATGCAATGGTGAAACCAACATTGCAAAGAGTTATAGATACTTAAATGGGGGATGCAAAACCATAAATCTCCCAGAAGATAACACAGAGAAAATCTAAATAATCTTGGGCATGACCATGACTTTTTAGGTACACCAAAGACACGATCTCTGAAAAATAGATTTGATAAGCTGGACTTCGAGAAAATTCAAATCCTCTGCTCTATGAAAGATACTATCAAGAGAATGAGAAGACAAGCCAAAGACTGGGAGAGAATATTTGCAAAAGACACATATGATAAAGGATTTTTATCCAAAACCTACCAAAACTGTTAAAATTCAATGATAAGAAATTGAACAACCCAATTAAAAAATGGGCAAAAGCTCTGAACAGACACCTCTCCAAAGAAGATATACAGATGACAGCTAAGCATATAAAAAGGTGCTCAACATCATATGTCATCAGGGAAATGCAAATGAAAACAATAGTGAGATACCACTATACATCTATTAGAATGGCCCAAATCTGGGACACTTGCAGCACCAAATGCTGGGGAGAATGTGAAGCAATAGAAACTCTCATTCATTGCTGGTGGAAATGCAAAATGGGACAGCTACTTTGGAAGACAGTTTGGCAGTTTCTTGCAAAACTAAACATACTCTTACAATACAATACAGAAATTATGATTAGCAGTATTTACACAAATTACTTAAAAACATGTGTCCACACAAAATCCTGCACAAAGGATGTTTATAGCAGCTTTATTCATAATTGCCAAAAGTTGGAAGCCACCAAGATGTCCTTCAGTAGGTAAATAAATGAATAAAATATGGTACATTCAGGCAATGGAATATTATTCAGCCTTAAAAAAGAAATGAGCTATCAAGCCATAAAAAGGCATGGAAGAAACTTAAGTGCATATTACTAAGCGAAAGAAACCAATCTGAAAAGTATTCCAAGTATATAACATTCTGGAAAAGGTAATGGAGACTGTAAAAAGACAGCAGTTTTCAAGAGTTAGGAGGGAGGAAGGGATAAGCAAGAAGAGCACAGAGGATTTTTAGGGCAGTGTAACTACTGTATGTGATACTATAAAAGTGAATTCGTGTCATTGTGCATTTTTCAAAACCCATGCAATGTACAACATCAAGAGTTAACTCTAACGAGAACTATAGACTTTGGGTGATAATGATGAGTCACTCTGAGTTCATCGATTGTAACCCATGTACCATTCTGATGTGGGATATTAATAGTAGGGGAGACTGTGCATGTGTGGAGGCAGCGGGTATATGAAAACTGTGCTTTCTGCTCAATTTTGCTGTGAACTTAAAACTTCTTTAAAAAAAGTCTATTTAAATGGAGGGAAAGTTATAGATACAATTGTATTCATGGGAGCTAGATTTGCAATAGAGAAAAGCTAGAAACAGCAAACACACGTGATCAATAAGGACTTTGTTAAATGTATTATGAAATATCTTATGTAGTTCCATCAAATAGTATGAAATATTTTTTTCCCAGTTTCTCATTGTCTTTCTAATTTTTCTCTTGTTTTGCCACGAAAACCTTAACAAGACAAAAGTCAGCTTTAAAGATGCCTATGGAGTAAACATTCCCTGCTTCTCCCTAAGCCACTCACATCCCCTCTTTCACCCTGAAGGGTCCAGCAGCAGCCTAGTATTTGGGAGAAAGACACTGGAAAGAAGCAAAACACACTTCCCTTCTCTCGTGGCAGATATGTTCCCAACGAATTTAAGCCAAAGGAAAAAGAAAAAAAAACTAAACTTGGAATTTAACTTTATAAACTTAACTAGTGACCTGAGTGCCAAAACATGGCCATTATAACTAGGGAATCCATGGATGATGCAACTTTGAGGGGTTTGGTCTGATATTCAGTTTAATCTGATGGCATGTACTTCAGTAAGTCAGGGTTGTCCAGTAAGTAGCGAATGGAAGGGCAATGGTCCCAAACAGCAATGAGGAGACACCTGTTCCTTCCCTGTCCAATAGGAGCTGACAGGTGAGAGAGAAAATAACCATCAATTAACAACACTGCAGGGGGAAAGGTCCTGGAGATGGATGGTGGAGATAATTGCACAAAAATGCAATTGTACTTAATGCCACTGAGCTCTACATTTAAAAATTGTCAAAATGGTAATTTATGTTGGGTTATTTTACCATAATTAAAAAATAAATTTATAAAGAGGGCTGCAGGGGAAACAGAGGACAGCCAGTTTTCTGTTACAGCAGGAAAGTAAAGAGACCATTCAGAAAAGAGGTGTATGATCTAGGGGATTTTGTTGACGGCAGATTTTAAATGACAGAAGACATAGTGGCCAGGTAGGCCAGGTCGGCCAGGTCAGGGAGTGATGTGAATCTGGCTCCATGAGAGTGTCTAGAGAGGAAAACACAAGTGATAAAAATAACCTGGGAATTTGGGCTTTATGTGCTTAAGGCAAGACGGAATGCATTCTGATGGAGTCTTCACGGGAGGTAAACAATCTGTTCCAATTATAGCTTGTTTGTCCTTGGTATCTCAGATATTTTGTGGTGGGAAGTATTGGGGAGAGAATGCCAATAGCATTCAGAGTTCTGTGGGCCTCACTTTCAGTTCTGCCAAAGACAGTGTCAAACGTAAGAAAGATGTGGTTTTACCCAGGTTTTTGTTATACGTGTTCTTCAACTGAAATGTGAACCAATTAAGATGGTTCTAAAAATACATGTGTGTATGTGCTGGCATAGCTCCAAATTCATATGTTGTGGAGATTTCATTCATTCTTTCCAATCAATGACGGTAAATCTTGTGATGTCTCCCAGAGAGAGGTATTTTTCACATATGATGAAATCAACAACCACTAAGTTCAATATAAGAACACATTATCAACTTAGGATCCAGTAAAAAAAAATCTCTCTGGGGTTTACAACAAGTTTAAACCAACAAAGGTTTATAATTACATCATAGAGCCTCTTAAAAATGTGCTATGGGACATTCCAGGCATAAATGACATTTTCTCTCAAGGCAAGTCTTGTTTGTGTGAAAGTTGGAGCCCCATAGAAGGCATACAACATCAACAGATTTTTATTTACCCATAGGTTATTTATGGTTTTGATTTTCTCAGAGAGAGTAATAGTTTTCTAAAAAGAAAAACGAATGAAATAATGATTAAAGCAGCTTAGACTCAATAGAGCACTTGTTCACATTCACCCATATTTCCAATTTCTAATAAAATAACGTCAGGTCAAATTCAAATTATTTATATTTCCTACCAAAAAATAATAATAAAGAGGTAAAAAAAATTCTG